ATCAGAAGGTAAATTACTTATAAAAGGGGGAGTTTGTGTATCTACTCGAACAACCGGCTTATCACGACATCTTTCAGTTTTTGAGACTTCCTGTTTTAAGTCAACAATCCCTTGAGAAGGGTGGTTTCTAAAATAAGTTAAAAACTGTAAACCAAAATTTCTTAATGAAACACGATCCAATAAATCGACAACTTAAATGCACATTTAATTAATTTTAGATCAGCTGGCCTCAACTCTTGGATTGGCAGTCAGACAGTAATTGTGAGAGTTTCAATATTTTGGCTTCAATAGTTTCTAGCCATACCAAGTATTGAGTATCATCGTAAATGACCACACGCATTTTGATGGATAATGAGCGGAAAGGTCATCAATCGTAGCTCTAAATCACGATCTCGGAAAAAACAGTTTTAATTTTTCGACAACGGTTTTATGATTGCGGTTTTGTTGGGAAAATGGACAAGAAATCGTTAGGGCCAAAGATAAAAACAGCATTCAATCCTCTACTAGACATGAATTAACAAAACTTCAAAAAAAAATTGAAAATTTTCATATGTTGGCTGGAATACGTAGAAAACCGCACGTCAATGTTTCTTTAGCGTCATCTCGCGGAATAGAACATGAGTAAACGCTTCCAGAGTGCTTTGAGTGAAAGATTCATGGCCTAAGGAATGACGAGTGACAAATTTGAATATAACAACAAAAGGGGCTCACGAAAACGCTATCAAATAGGTTTCTTACATGTTTGCAATTGGTATATAATGATACGAATAAATATACATCCACACACGCGCAAACACGCAGGCACGCACACGCACACACATATACAGTATATATTAGTCTCATGCGTGTCTTATAGCAAAGCAACAACTCAAAATCTCAGAAAACAATAATTGAGAATAATTTCGAAACAACACGAGAGAATGAGGTAACGTCGTAGATCATCAGATCACCCTCATCCGCTGTTATCTCCCCCCCCCCCTCACCTGAGCACAAATCAGGAAACTAAGTAGTACGCAATAACTAACCAACTAAATAACAGACGTAAACAAAGAAAACTCAGCGAAGCAGAAAATCAACACCAAATTTAAAAAGAAATTCAGAGCAATCATTGAGAACATTACAAAACAAACGACCAGGATTGAATTCAGACATGTGACGACAAAGAAAGCATTGAATAAAATTGTCCTATACAATTTGACTGGTGAATCATAAGTTCAATCTAATGATACCATTCGATAGCTATCTTTAACTTCTACAAATGTTCGAAATTGTATTAAGTTAAAACGTGAACAAATTAAACTTTTTTTATTTAATTTTGGAGCTTTTCAAAATAATAATTCAGAATAATAATCAGTTGTCTCAATAATCTCAAGATTGTCTTTCAAACGATGTAAAACTTGTCTAAATATAATTTAAGGCTCGCGAGATATGAGGTTTGAAAGTTGCATACCTCATACGTGAGGCCGAAGTCGGGGTGTAAGGGTTCAACGAGTCGAAGAATTATGAATGTGCACAAACTACTTTGCGATAATTATTGCCAAGTTTCAACGTAAGGCTAATGGGCAATATCCAGCTAAATTTTATGGCAAATATACTGAGATAAATTATAAATGAATCAGTATAAATGGCATGTAAATTGCATGCCATTTTAAACCCGACCAAACTTGAATTCAGTTGACTAAATGTAAACATCACATTGCCATATTGCACCGGATATCGATGAACTTCTAATATTTTACTTCAATATTTAGACTTTTATTCACAGTGTCATTAAAATAATAAGTCTTTGTAGAACTCACATAACCCCCAGCGATATTTCGTTACTGGCGCTTCAAAAGCCTCTTAACGTGGTGAGACCCAAAAACTTGACTCAGCCAATCGTGCACTTGTGTACACGCACCAAATTTGCCAAAAAGCGTGACAAAATAAAGTGTTCCCATAACTCGTAAAACGTGTTTCCAAAAATTTAAATAAAAAAGTAAAATTTTGGGGAAATAATGGGTCTTGTACGACTCGCAGGAAATTTGGAAGAAAAAATATGAATAAAAGTAAAAGTCTTCTAGTAACTTCTCCAGTCTTTGATTTCTGAAAATTTGAAATTGATTGGTCCAGTAGTTACAAAGAAATGCGATTGTCTCACAACAACAAAGCAGAGCGATCCAGTGCTTTTGTTCGCAATGTTGTTCCGTAGAGCAAGGCTACTCAACTGACGGACCGCGGACCGAATCCGTACCTTTGCAGTATTCAATTTGGACCGCTGCTGCCTCTAGACTTTGAATATCACCGTTTCTTCTTATTTCACAAAAGTGATGTAATGCATTTTGCATTTTTCGCTAAATCACTGAGAAAAAAATTGTCATAGCAATATAAGTTTCTCAGAGCATCAATTCACTTGTTTACTCCCTTAGCATTGGCTAATCAACGAGATGTCAATAGTGGCGTAAAAACCGAAGTTTTAGCGGCTGTTTGGATACATTTTTCACAGTTTTTTTATACAAGGTGGTAAACATTAAATTGTTTTGGGGCTTTGCATTTGTCAGGTTTTACTTTTATATTTGAAATTTAAAATAGAACAATTATTGATAACTTATAAATAAATAACTTTGCTATTGGACACGTAGTCGACTAATGAATCGTTTTGCTAAAATCATTGTGGTCTTGTATTTGGTCAAACGATACTCTTGTTTGCATAGTTAAAATATATTTTTCTGAATGACCGGACCGCGATAACTTCTGAATTTTGTGTACAGACCTTTGTTGGAAATAGTTGAGTAGCCATGCCGTAGAGCACGGGTTCTCAAACTTTTAGTGTTACGGAGACCGTGAAGAGAGGTTGACTATTGGAGCCCCACAATAAATTTCAAAATTTATTGTACTGTAAATTTTACTCATTGAGATTTTAAGGCCCACCTTGGAATTTTTGTAATGATGATATCTTGCTTGAAAATAATCTTGAGTGCTGGAAGAACAACTCAAATTTTACGAATCTCAAGATCGCAAACATACGATTCCAGTCTATTTAGAGTTGGCAGTTTAGCACGTATTTATGTTATTTCAGAATAGTAAAATTTCATTTTAGTATTGTTAATAGTAATCTCGACTCAATTATAATGACAAGACATTTTAAATGCTCGCATCGGCCACGGATTGAATATTTTACGCAACAGAAAACTCGTTATCTTAGATACCTAGAAAACCGGAAAGAAGTGACTGAGAGCATCTAGCGCCCATCAACAGCATATACCTACCCACAAAACAATCACGAGTTTTCGTAATTCACACAATCAATATTTATTAGTTATTGCAAAATCAATCAAGCACATTTACATAGATAAATTACTCAGTAACTCTTCTAAAATTGAATGTTCAGACGGAAACTTATTAAAATGATTAAATCACAAGAAATTTTGAGTCACAGGTATATTTTACTAGGCTTCAGATGTTTAAACTGCAATACTTTATGAAGAATCTCAAATGCAGCCTCAACAATCTATATTTTGTATACTGTTTATTTAACATGGCAGCTAGGCTAGTAATCCATCTTCAGCAAGAGTTTAATGAAATCTATTGATTAATAGGGTGGGCATTTCGAATCGAATATTCGAATCGAATAGTAAATTATTCGAATCGGTTCAGAGCAAAATTTCGAATCGCCGCCATCTTGTTTTTTCCTTTCCGCCAATTGTCGAGGTAAATTTCTCAATTTTTTTTACTGAAGCCATATTTTTTCTAGGCAATTCTGACATATGACTCTTTTCTGTAGTGAGTTATGGATGAAAACGTGTTTTTTATTGTGTGTGAACGCTCAGCAATCTGTTTGAGTGATGTAATACATGTTTTCAGTAATTTATGTGTCTGGAGGACCCAATACAAGAAGAAAGTTACATACAATTTTATCTCCCAAGTATTCGAGATTCGATTCGTTTCAAAAAAAATATTCGATTCGATTCTGAAATCATCAGGTATTCGAAAATGCCCAGCCCTATTGATTAACAGAGAATGTTATAATCCCAAGTATTACTCAGAGACATTGTTGCTATCTGTAATATGGTGAGCGGCCCCATTTAGTAATGTATCTTCTAGTTTGCTAGTTAAGTCTAGTTTGCAAAAATTGCCATCAATGCAGATCGAATTTAACCCTCCGGTTTATTCTAGGTTCAGGTCAAATTCACCGCCAAATTGTAAATTCCTCCCGGTTGTAATTTCTTGCTACAGTGTTGGCAAGAGTTCTTTCACATTAGAAAGTGCAGTTCTAAATCCAATATTTAAAAATACTTTAAATTATTTAAGTGAATTCATTGCATATTTATGAGTAACGCATATTCAGACTCAATTCCAACCAAACATTAGAAATTTTAAATCAGAGAATTATTTTAAAGGTTTCCAAACTTGACAAATATTCTTACATTGACTATAAAACCTCAGGATTTGTGAGCGTTTGTCACAGCGCCAAATAAAATAATATGAAATGCTAAATCAAATAGCGAAATTATTTACGTAGGCATATTTTTCACAATCTCAAATAATATCGCATGTTTGCACAAAAACTGTATTAAAATGGCTGCTCATCAGTTGATTCAAAGAATTATTTCACCGAACTCCGATTTATTAAATTATGTGTCCGGCAACAGTTTCGGATCAAAAGTCCAAAAGGGAGTCCTTCGAAAACTAAAGTAGTAAACCTAATTTCTAATCACATACAAGTGGATCCACGCTGAACGGCATGTTCTAAAGTTTTGGAGAATTTCAAAACCTGAATATTTTAAACTAATCCATTGGCTCTTTTATAGGCAGCTTCGGCACGCTTGCTGGAAGCCACAAGCAAAGCCTTCACTAGGTAACATTGGATGCATCAACTTAAAACGTAAGTCGGACTGTGGCTTTTGGACTCTTTGACGGTAATGCATTTATTCTATTGTTTTCGCTTGTTGTATTTTCATCGCCACATTCGGCCGATGAAATGACCAATGTAACGCGTTAAAAGTAAAAAATTTTTTTAGGAGAGCAGGGAGTCACAGATGTTGAGAGTTTGTGGAAATTGCCACTTATTACAGAGTATTAGCAAGATTGTTGCTCAGATGAAAAAGAATTTTATCGATAGTTTGCATATTTGTTTTTTTACTCCATTGCACCATCTGACGGACAAGTTTATGCCTCCTCTTCTGACATTGTCAGACTGTAGAAACCTTTCCTGGGACCGTATTGATGTATTTTAACTTTGTTCGGATCCAGTTCTTCGCCAGTCTGCACCGCTGTCACGTATTCGTCTGAAACTTCCGGCTCTGGTTCAGGCTGGGAATAGAATCAACAAGTTTTCCTTTGGTTCGGCGAATAATCTTTTAGGATGCTTTTTGCACCTCCGCTTTAGACGTGACCTTGTATTTGTAGCACTTGACTATTTGTGGCGCTCCCGTAGTATGTGCACCAAGATGGCGCACAACCCGAACATAGTATGTGTACCAGGTTGGGGTTCAGGTTGTGCGCCATCTTGGTTCACATACTATGGGGGCACCCTATTTTGGATGGAAACGAATCTATCGGTGTCGGTATTGCTCACCCAAAAGCAAAGTGAAAAAAAAATCAACCAATAATCAGATTCAAGGAAGAGTATCATTATGTGGCGTTTCCACACCTGTATTTCGAGCAAGACAACCAATAAGGGAATACAGAAGTGATATACTTCGCATTTAGCATAGTTTTACTAATATCCCTTGCTTTATGAACATGAACTATTCAAAGTAAGCAAAAGCTAGAGTGCCTGGACCTGGGCAATATTGTAGTCAGAAGCAGAATATTTCATTCATTTGTACAAACGCTAATGAATCTAACAATTAAAATTTCACTGAGGTTTAGGTTTAAAGGGTTTAGATTAGTTTCGTCTGGCCAAAGTCAGCTTTTAATTCTATTTGTTCCAAACAAATCTGGCTGTAGATCAGATGTAACATTTACCATTAATAGTATTTGTGGTAAGTCTTTGTTCAAACATCTGAATAACATAAGAAATATTTCGAGAAGAAACTCCAACGTAACCTACCTCATCATATTATCCAGTGTCGCGCGCCCTCAGGAGGGAATTCAAAGGTGTATTTTTTGTGCCCGTCTCTGCGGTAAAGGGGGGCGGTGCCTGTAATATAATAAACTTAATGAATTGTTTAATGTAGCTCAGAGCTACTCAACTGTGGACAGCTGTCCGGAATCCGGACCTATTCGATCATGTAATTGGACCGGGTCTGCCTTGTTTATTTTTGCAAGCACCAGCATCGTTTTTAGTTTTAGATGATTTTGATACAATTTAAATACACAGCTATACAGTGTGTCGTACTGGTATCGATGTGCGACATTTGTGTCCATATTTGCGAGCCATTCTTTGCTCTTGTATTTAATTTATTCATTCCATTTGAAGTTTCGTTTATTTAATGAAATAAATTTTCTGTATTGTCCGGACCCCAGTAATTTTGAAGTTTCGTAAACGGACCTTTGGCGAAAATAGTTTAGTAGCCCTGATGTAGCTGATTGAAGTAATGCACAACTAATCACTGCCCCAGATTCCGCTGACTTTGTGTTAATGGCTCTCTATAATCTGCCACTGTTATGTATGAAGCTACTATGGTTTGGAAAGACTGACTTATTTGAGTCATCCGTGAGATAATGGTCAGAAAGTTTGAAGTTGATATTTGCAACTACCAAGCTAACAATGCGAGGCCAAACGCCGCGCCACAAAAAAATGCTGCTTTCATTTATTGTTGGATAGAAGTCCTTGAAAAACTCCGAGTCGCAAAATTTATTCAATGGCTGGCAGTGTTTTGGGTTCAAGTCCGAGTCGTCTAATTCAGATGACTAGACTCAATTCTAATTTATGATAAATGGTGATTCAAGTATAACTGCAGTCGAGACAGTTGGGTAGGACTATTGATTCAAAACATCTGAATGATTAATGTAGGTCTGTAGGTCATATAGGTTGCCGTCATTAAGACTTTACCCAGACTTTCTCAAATGGAAGGGTTGGAATTTCCACCATGGAGGGCAATTTTGTTATTTGAGTGCAAACACAGAAACATGGCTGTGTATTCTCTGCAGTTTTACTTATATTGTACTTATACTTAGTATGATCGGAATATATATTCACGATCACATAACATAAACTAATCAAACTGAACAAAATGTCGGGTGCTCCCGAATCGAAGTATGTGCACCAAGATGGCGCACAACCTGAACATAGTATGTGTACCAGGTTAGGTTTATCAGGTTGTGCGCCATCTTGGTGCACATACTTCTGGAGCGCCAAATGTCGAGTGCAATATGCATGTATCACTAGTTAACAATTCTTTATAAATTGAAAAACAAACGTACACATAGTGGGGGAGGAATAGGAATATTCAAATTAGGAATGAAGAGTGAAAATACCTTAACCACTACCTTAGCCGAACTTACCGTTAGAATTGAAATTGACGTCAGATTTATGAATCGACTCGGCATCGCTCAGCATCGGCGATTTCATTCCAGAAGAACCGTTGCTGAATGTGCGACGTCGCATGGGCGGAGGCATCTTCTGTCTGACTTTCTCAATCGCTTGCTGTCGTTCTTCTGTGGTATGATATTGAGCCAGAAGTATCTGAGACGGAAGGAATATTTATTGATCACAGAACAGAGTTTGTATTCTGAGTGTTGAGTGCACAAAGTTTAGTTGGTTTAAACAGGGGTGTGCAACCTTTAACACAGGAGGACCAAATACAAATAACTGTGTGAGACCGCGGGCCGCACTATTATTTAACATAGACTTACTAATAGTAGTATGATATTCGTTGTTTGCATCGCACAAGTTTGCCGTTAGGCCATTGTAACGTCATAGATAATAGATTAAACACGGATCTAGGCTTTGAGACGCAAAGGTATTGGAATTACTCTAGGGCAGGGTGGTTCAAGATAGACAGCTCCCCTGGCCACAAAATTACTTTTGCATTGTTCGCGTGCCACAATAGTGCCAAAAACTTTGCTCGTTTAACTTCGCTAGTTGCTTCACTAAGCCATAACACTAGTCAATTTAGTGACATTAATGATGCAACAATATGTCAAAAGATTTTTTGGTTAATTTTATGACGAAACAACACAAAATGCAATTTTTTTGATTCGTCTCCAAATGCGACGCGGGCCACAGATAATGAAGTGGCGGGCCACGTGTGGCCCTCGGGCCTGGGTTTGGACCACCCTGCTCTAGGGTCTCCATATTTGAAAAAGCAAAATTCCGGACAGTGCATGACTATTTTCATGACCTCGTAGTAAAAAAAATATGCGCACGGTACAAAATAACAATGTTCTGTATTAGCAGTGTGCACAGTACGATTGCAGATGCAGTAAAATTCCGGATTCCGGACATTTGAGCATTTTTTGAATACTTCCCGTGCGCAAAAATTTAACCCTAATGTCCGGAATTTTCCGGACGGTATGGCAAACCCAAATTACAAAAACTTGTTCGCGGTCCGCACATCATTTAAAATTGGCACTTCTCAGCGGTCCGCACAAATTTTTCCTGCTGGCCGCAATTGGCCCGCGGGCCGCATGATGCACACCCTTGGTTTAAATACATAAATAGTAAATGAAATTCACATTGGTTCAGCTACATTATGTTGAAGAAAATTTCCTTAAAGCAAAGTGATGTCCACTCACTCAGAAACGAAGTGAAGAAGGCCCAATACTGGGCAAAGCAACGCGCATTCACTTATAGGTTAATAGGACTCATCCTGGAGTTGCAGCCCCCCCCCCCCCCCCCCCCCCCCCCACTAAAATAACAGGGGCTACTGAAGATTTATAGAATTTTGAGGGTGGCTGTGGTACCGTAAAAACATCAAGTTCACTAAAAAAAATTGGCGGACAGGCGTGACGAAATGAAGTGTTCCGATACGTCATGAAATATAAACCCTCCCTCCCCCCCCAAAAAAAAAAAAGACAGCTGGAATCCAAAACAATTCATACCTACACGTTGTGTCTATACATAAAGCAAACGATTATAGATTGAATACCTGTGGAATATGAGCGATGATGTCGGAATGCGTTCGGAGTTCGGATGAGATCGAATGATCCGTGATCACAAAGATCGTTGGAATCCCAAGATCGACAATTTTACGTAGTCCTGAAGAATAAGAGAAAAAGAATCAGCACATTTGCATCGTTTAAAGTCAGTGACTGGGTACAGACTCAGACTCGAGAAGCAGGAATTCTACCCAACTAAAGCATAGTTGGTCAAGTCAGTGGGTTGTGGGTTACCTTTTTGTTCTTTCTTGTTGCTCAAGCAAGTTAATATGAGTATGATCCGGTCCAACTTACCACTAATAGCGATGATTAGACTCTTTATTTATTGATAACTAAAAATGACAATGTTACAAGACGTTTCCCGCTTTTTTTAACGAGGGTTGTACAAGTACCCGCCGATGTATGTGTACTAGGTTAGGGTTCAGGTTATGCGACATCTTGGTGCACATACCTCAGGAGCACCAGAACCAGGGATTTGAAAAAGTACACGCCGATATAAGGATTTTGGTGAAACGAATTCTTTCCGGTTTAGCATTACTTACCGAATTGTCCGTGGGAATAGAATTTTAATCAAAATATGGCATGCCAGAATTGTGAATGTTGAGTAATTGCAAAGGATGAACCAATTCGACTAGTCACTTACTTACTACCACAAACACATATTAGTAGCATTAGGCCAGCGGTTCTCAACTTTTTTTTTTCGTCGCCCATTTTAGTTGCACAAAAATTCTGTCGCCTATTACCTTTCTTATGCAGGGTAAAACTACATGAAGAACAAAATAAAAATTCTTCTCGTAGAGAAAGACACTGCCTGTTTAATAATTAAAATGAAAGTTACCACTCAGTAGCAAACACAACATCATCATTCCTTGCCACTACAATCCAAGATTAACTAATTGATCAATACCTCTAGCGATTTTTCATGAGTTTGTTGCCCATCTAAAAATGCTTCTGTGGGCCAAATGTGGGCAATGGCTCGCTGATTGAGAGCCGGGGCATTAGACTACACTGCTAAACATTTAAAACACATACCTTCGTTAAGGCAATACATGCACCAATCGTGTGTCATATATGTCGCGCTAAATACAACGATAAGTCTTCTGCATTTGTGTAGGTTGGCTTGCAGCTTGTCGTTGTAATCTGAAAAAAAATGTGATTCAATCAATGATTTTGTCAGAAGCCGACCAGGTAACTTATTTTGGCGTTCCAGAGGTATGTGTATCAAAATGGAGGTAACTAAGTTTGTTTGCCTACTTTACATCAAGTTGTGTAAAGAGAATGAAACCTATGGGCAGGGGGTATATTCACTTGGCTAACACAGACAGTCCCGAACTCGTAATAGAACAGAAAATAAGAATAAAATTATGGCCTAACCCTAACCTGGTACACATACTACTAATATAATATACTACGCACTAATTTCATGCTTTAATCGTAATTTTGTCTTTATAGGTCACAAATGTAAAGATGAATTCTTTTTCAATTACTGTTATTAAACTCTAATTATCAATTATTATCTATTTCTCTACTTAAACGAGACCCGCACAGTGACGTTTCGCACAGATCTCAGCAGAATTTATGGCCTGCCATGACCAGAAAGCGGCTTGATCAATAAATTATTCGCGAATATGTCATTTAGTCTATCCAATTAGAGAGTCCAGCTGCACACTAACACAAATGTATTTCCCTAACGTTTCTGAATAGAATAGTCATGTTTATTCCAGCTACAGTATCCTTGCAGTATACGCATACGGATATAGCATAAAGGCATAGAGAAAAGATAGGAAGTTAGTCTCGCGCAACCCAACTCAAATTTATGTCATTTAGTGTTCGTCATATGTCAATTATGTCAGCCATTCCAGTCAATTCCATAATGAAAGGGCCAAGAAAAAGTGTGTTTACAAACTATTTTAATTTTTCAGTTTTTAAGGGAATTTTCCCTAAAAGATATACAGAAGAGCTTTTTATATACATTTCTACGGAGCATTACTTATAAGTGAAGTGAAATATATAAGTGAAAGTTATAAGTGAAAAACATTCATTTCTAG